TTTTGTTTATGTTTTGGGGATATGCAGAGAATGTAAGTGCAGTTCCAAACATATGTTGGTGTAGCTTTAGCTGGAAGTTCATCATGACTTTTTTTCCTCCTAAACTCATGGTCCAAGACCAAATCAAGCATGTAGCCACAAGGTCTTCATCTGATAGGTGGGATAATTTAGAATTTTACTACTGAAATTTTTCCCTTTGAGGGGTAGGGCTGGCCTATTCTGGTTTCCCATTCTGTTAGTTCTAGACTCAGTCACTCTTCCCCCAGCCATACGGGCAACTTGTTCCAATTCATGATGTACTTTCCACTAAAATAAACCCCCAGAACTGCTCACATCTCATTTCATTTTTCTTGGTGCTTTTGAACCTCTGAGGATTTGCTTTACTTTTCCACCTCTTCAGATAGATGTAGCAAAATATTCTGGTGTTTTTTTTAACCAATATTTTAAATATTCTGCACAGTGCTCTCCATACATCCATTCTGCTATATTGCTGCAAGATGTGCACCATTTTTAAATTTTCAATCTAATTTTGTGTCCACGGTCCTATAAGAAGTGCTCTTGCCAAAGTCAAAAATGACTTCAATAATGCTAAATTTGCTATACTTGTTAAAGTTCTGTACAGAATTTGGCACAATTGTCCAGTGCCACTTTCTCTGAATGAAGCTCTTGAGAATTTCAAGGCATAATCTTCCACTACTATTCATTTTTTTATATTTGCTTGTTCTTTTGACTCCAAGTTGCTATCTCTTTTTTAAAAAAGATTTATTTATTTTTTTATGCATACAAGAACAGGGGTATAGGCCAGAGGTATGGGGAATGAGAGGATTCAGCAGAGACAGAGTGGGGAGCAAAACAGGTGGACTGATTGAAATACACTGCTGAGGGGAGCAGCGGGAGAAATAGGAGAGTTCTGCTATGCCATATAGGTTAGCTCCATGGCTGGGGATTGAACTCATTTGCAGCAGTGATAGTGTGAAAGTGCTGAGACTTGACCCTTATACCATCAGGGAAGCCCCAAGTTGCTATATTTTAATCTGTCATATTAATGTCTGTCACCTTCTGCTGCTGAATGAGAAGACAGAGGTCCCAAGAGACCCTATCATTTAACTCTCCTGTTACTTGCATTTAAAACAGGCTAAGAGGTGAGTGGTTTTGTCATTATTATCAACGACCACGTCCATGCAGGCAGGCCTGAGAAAATATGTTCCTCATGCTCCTGACAGTACATAAGACCCAGCCCTCATCTAGAGAATGTCATGGCAGTGTAGAATAAACAGCCAATGATTTTTTTTTTTAACATTAGGAAGCTCACTTTGAAACAAAATAATTCAATCTTTTAACTTCCATTATAGAATAAATGAATCTAGAAAAAAAGATCTAAAAAAGCAATAATAACTTTAAATATGTGCATTAAAATGTTTTTTTTTTCCTAAATTGTCTATGAAACACAAAAATTTCAATCAAAGGTAACTGTTCTAACTAGATATAACCAAAACCAATTAAATCTGTAAATGAGTCCAGGTGAAAGGAAAAAACGTCTGGGCAACTCACAACTCTTCCAGTCCATGGAATTCTGTGTCTTAATAAATTCCTCATAAGCTATCCTATCAGCAGTGCTGTCTTTGTTCACGCAACAATGAACTGAAGTGCACAATTGAGTTTACACTCCACATGTAAACTCTACCCAGGACACAACTAACAAAAGAACAAGAAATGAACTATTAAGTCCTTGAAATCTTTAAGAATTACAGGAACTTCCTAAGAAAGAAACAAAAATATTATGGCTTGTAGAACATCACTAAATGTTTCAGTGGTGTGTTTTTTTGTTTGTTTGTTTGTTTGTTTGATTGATTAGCAAACTTGATAATTTTTTACCTCCTGAAGATGTTGGCTCAAATCCCAAGTGTGAATGAGCTGCAAATTTCAATGATGAGGAGCTGTTCATTGAAGCCAAGCCTCCACCTGGCTGATCCTCTATGAAGATGAGGACTCTGGAAAGAGGGAGTATGCACAGCCCCAATGACAGGGCACTGGCCACTGAGACCAGGATGTCAGCAGTTTTAGTTCTTGTAAGATCTTGATTTGCAGATGCCAATCTTCTTATTGTGCCTTCATGTGGTCTATCCTCTGTGCCTGCCTAATTCTGATATCCCTCTGTGTGTCCAGTTTTTCTCTTCTTATAAGGACACCAGCCTGATTGGATTAGAGAGCCATCAGGACAGTGAGTGAGTGAGGAGTCAGGAGAGTGAGTCAGGAGAGATCTGACCGTCCTACTCAGGACATTATTGCCAATATGAATGGGGGGCCAAGCAACAATCCAAGTATCAGCACCACCAGAACATCCTATACTGCTGCTCAACCTTGGTACCTGGAAGTGTTATCATCAAAAGCTGTTACAGTTTTCATTTCAGTGATTTAACAAGCACTCCATGAGACATTCACTTTAAAAATCAATTAAAATAAAATTAAGACCTGTTGGGGGTCATGCACAATTCTCTTGTAAATAAACCTATGTGGGACCCTAGATCATGGCATTTTTAGTTTCCTGTTCTTTCGACTATCAGCAATGGCTGCTACTGGGTATTTATTCAAAAGAATTGAAAACAGGATCTCAAAGAGATAATTGTACTCCATATTCAGTGCAGAATATTCAAGATAACCAACCAAGAATTAAAAACAAATAAATGTGTGTTGACAGACAAAAGAAAATGTGATAGATATATATTATAGTGAATATTACTCAAACTTAAAGAAAAAAGACATCGTGTCATTTAGAATTCCATGGGTAGAGTTGGAGGACATTGGCCTAAATGAAGCAAGCCTGGACCACAATACCACTTGATTCCATTTGTATGAGAAAAAGTGGACTGATGGATAAGTGGAGAGTTTTTTAATAGGATTAAAATTATACAGGCTAGATACATTCTAGAGATCTGCTGTACAATATAGTGCCTATAATTAACAATATAATACTGTGCTCTTCAAATGTGTTAAGAAGCTAGAACTCATGATAAGTGTTCTAATCACACACAAAAAGCAAGTGAACCATGGAATCTCATGGAGGTGCTGAATGTTTTCTACTTTGTGATTATGGTATCAAGAGTGTGTACATATGTTCAAGCCTTTCAAAATGTGTACACTAACTATGTGCAGCATTAGCATATTCAATATACCTAAATGGAGTTGAAAAAAGAAAAAAAAAGCAAAGAAATATCAAGTGTTGTTAATTTTAAATTAGTGACTACGTGTCCAAATTGATCTCTCCTATTCAGATAGGTTGCAGGAGACACTGTGAAAATCTCCAGAATTCCTAGGAATATTTCATGTGGGGTATTAGAATGGGACATCATGGGAAATAAGGTAGAAGACAGTGTCCCCAAAAGGATCCCTTCGTTGGAGCCTCTCCTTATCCATATGGACATGCACTCAACCTATTATAATCCACAAAGTCCTGTCTATGCACAGGACCTGACTGGTGCTCAGCAGTGATGAGCTATAAGACTTGAGGTGGAGTCCCAGCTACCAGCAGCTGGGAGAGCTGTGAGAAATTGTTTAACCACAGTGGTTTCCTATGGCAAGTAAAAGCTAGAATCATGTGAAAAATTCCAGTGAGCAGAGGTCCAGAAAAACCTGTAGCAGAACTTCTGACTTTAAGGGAAAATATTGTGGATTGCCAACAATATATTGTGGCAATATATTAAGGGAAAATATTGTGGCAATATATTAAGGGAATATATTGTGGCAATATATTAAGGGAAAATATTGTGGATTGCCATCTGGGAAATGGGCCGCCTGGGTTTGAAGTGTCAGACACAACAAATGCTCAGAGGGCTTTGTCCAGCCGACCTAAACAGAAGCAGACCATTCACACGGGAACCCTCTGGCTGTGGCTCCTGTGAACTGTGCTTGCAGAAGCAACATCAGGAACATTCTGCATGGATGAGAGACGACTAAGAGGAAACTTCACATGGGTCAAGAATGTACTGTTCTTTGAGCTATTTCCTTTAACAACTTGGGAGAAATAATAATTAATATAAACACTAGTCATCAGACTGATCTTGATGCAAGAAAATGAGAACACAAGATTTGCAATCAAAGACTCAAATTTAAGCATCAGCTCTTTCTTCTGTTATTCTGGACTAGGCCAAGTCAGTAAGACTCTCTGAGTCTGTTTTCGCCTCTGTAACATGAGAAGCCCTTGCAGGGCTATTATTAATAGTCCAAAGTGCCCTGTGGATATAAAAATAATGCCTGTATTTCCTTATTATTTTTTTTAAGCTGTATTGCTTTTTTTCACATTTTGTATTTTGTTCACTTCTGCTTGGATGCAAGTTTTTTTTTTTTTTTTTTTTTGGTTTTTAAAAATGTTCTTTACTTTTCTATAAGTTATCATATTCCAATGGTGAATATGTATAACTTTATAATTAGCTAAAAGTTATTTTATTTTATTTTATTTTTTATTTTATTTTATTTTTTTGCTTCCAAACACATTTTATTTTATTTTTTTTAAATAATAAATTTTATTTTCATATTCCCCATACAATTGCAACCCCCCATTTTGACCCCAATCCCTCCCCTCCCGCCCCCACCCCCAAAAAGTGTCTCTGGTTCATATTTTTTTGTTGATTTTGATTTTCACTTTCTTATAGTTATTCATTTTCCTTGTCCCTTATTTAAGTTTTCTAGATTCCTGCTATGAGTGAGACCATCCGGTATTTTTCTTTTTCTTTCTGGCTTATTTCGCTGAGCATGATCCCTTCCAGCGCCATCCATGTTGCTGCAAATTGCATGTGTTTATCTTTTTTGAATGCTGAGTAATATTCCACGGTGTATATGTACCACATCTTCTTGATCCAGTCATCTGTTTTTGGGCATTTGGGCTGTTTCCAAAGCTTAGCTATTATAAACAGTGCTGCTATAAACATAGGGGTGCAGGTGTTCTTTGGAATTGATGTTTCTGTGTCCTTTGGGTAAATACCTAGGAGTAGAATTGCTGGATCATATGTTCCTTATTATTTTTTTATGAACTTGCATGTCATTCTTGCGCAGAGGCCACGCTAATCTTCCCTGTATCATTCCAATTTTAGTATATGTGCTGCGGAATCCAGCACTCCTAATAAGGAGTGCTAATATTATTCTTAGTTCTACAGTCTACAATTAGAAGACCTCCAAAGCATTAAAATAAAGAATAACTGAAGCCAACATGGGATTTTCACAAGAAAGCTTTTGTTTCCAAAGTGATATTAACCACACAAATAGTTAAAGATATCAAAGCTATCTGTGTCTTTTTAATCCTAAAAACTTCCAGAATATATAAAAAGATGAAAAAATATCACATGTATTTACCAAGCACACTTAACCCCGATATCAAGGTATAATTAACAGACAGGAAAAGAAAATGCAGAATGGGTCTCACAAAATAGTGTTGGAGAGTCTAAATATCTAATAAATACTATTCAAAATTCATAAGTAAGAATAAATAACATTTGCTTAATACATGAAAAGTACTTATTTCAAAGTAGTTGTTCCTAACTTGGAAACGTAAGATAATCCTAAGAGATATCATGAAAATGGGGTGGTGGGTGGGCAACATCACCATGATGGTTCAGGACTGATGAGGAAGTTATTGTCAATACAACATGACATCAAGTAAAAATATTATACTGGAAAAGATAAAACTATACTTATCTGTATATATATGAGCATGCAGATAAAAATATGAAGATAAGTATTAACATTTTAGGGCCACATAAGTATCAGAGACTCTCCTGGTATACCTCACAAACACATTCAGAGAGACTAGACAGCAAAACTAAAACTCCATGGCCTCTATCTATAGAACACCAGGTAAACTGTGTACCAGGGACAAGTAGGGATATATTTACACTAGCCAGCGCCTGATCAAGGGAAGCAGAACATATAAAACAGCTTTCTAGTAGGCAGAAGAAACACAGACTTTGTCTCTAACTGTCCAGAAGAACCCACAGGGTAGGAAGGGATGGGGCAGAGTCACATGCTACACTTGTAGGTAAAAAGAAGGAAATACTGGGGGCCTCCTTGGTGGCTCAAGGGGTTTAGTACAGCACTATGAAGATATCCACAGCCACTGCATCATGCATTCGATCCCCGGCCAGGGAACTGACCCACATGGCACATTAGACCTCTCCTGTCTCACCTGCTGCTCCCCTTAGCAGTGTATTTCAGTCAGTCTGCCTGTTCTTTCCCCCACTCTGTCTCTGGTGAAGTCTTTCCCCCCATATCTCTGGCCTGTACCCCAGTTCTTGTATGCATAAATAAATAAATATTTAAAATAAATAAAGTTTACTTTTAAAAGGAGGGATTATTGATGTGGCCTATAAATCTTCTATATTCACAAAAGAAAGACCCTCATCAGTTCTGTGTCAGGCACTAGGGAAAGGCCTGGGGGCTGGGGCCCATTGGAAGAAAAATGGTGACAACAAAATCTATATTTTCAACAAGAGAGAAATGAATGGTGGTGAACATGGTGACTAGAGAGTGCATAGGTGGTCTACACTCTAGCTGATCAGAGAGCACTTGAAAGGTAGAACAGCTAGATGATGGCCTTGTAGGATTCACTGAGAATGGAAATCGGAGGTGATGGAGCAGATGGATTAAGAGTTACTATTTTCAAACCTGTCCACAGTAGCGACCAATAACTTCATCCCCAGAGAGAGACAGAAAGCTTCCTGCTGGCAGAATCTCCTGGCATGATCTGAATATTTGTGTTCCCCTTCCCAATTCATATACTGAAATCCTAACTCCCAAGGTGATGGTGACATCAGGAGGGGGCAATTATTTGGTCATGAGGGTGGAGCCTCATAAATGGAGTTAGTATCCTTATAAGCTTTTATCCTTGAAAGCTTCTTCATCTTCTTTTCAGAATGTGAGGAAACAAGGAGAAGTCAGGAATCCAGAACTGGATTCTCCCCAGAATCTGATCATGTTGACACCCTGACCTCAGACTTCCAGCCCCCAGGACAGTGAGAAATCAATGCTTATTGCTCTCATGTCACCCAGTCTATGGTGTTTTGCTCTGGCAGCCAGAACTAACTAAGGTACAGCCTTTCAAGAAATACTATGTAACATCACGTAAATGTGCAGCTGGTTTTCCTTTCATGAATGCCTTAACAGACATAGATTGCATAAAGCTATGATATAACCCAGATCATTGACTTTATAATGTATGTATGCTTATATTTCTATAGCAGTGATAAAACAGGAGGTAAGGGAAAGCATATGTGTGGATTAGACCCCTTTAGACCAGCGCCCTCTCAACTGAGCAGAGAGAAGGTAATGTCAGTCACAGCCAGAGCATCAACACTACACCAAAGGGACTTCAAGAATAGATGCCCACCTGTGGCCCTGAGAACAGAACTAGGCGATGTCACCCCACAAGTGAAAAGAATTCCTTCTTAATACAAAATGTGATGAGAAGGGGAGCCACCGTCATTTTATTACGGATCAAAGTCTTAATTTGAATTTGGAGTTACTATAGCAATATCTTACTTTTCTCAAGGAAAAAGAAGAAACTTAATGTTGGAAAGTGACATATTAGCCTAGCCCCCCCACACACCAAAGAAATAGCCATCCCCTAGATAAGTGGCCAGCCAAACAATCTGGGACTAAAGCAGAGTAGCTGAGGTCAGAAATCTTGCCAGGAGTCCAAGGCACACCAAATAGGGAACCTCAAGAAAAGGGCTAGGCAAGTCGCACAGAGCTGGTACAAGATTCACAATGTGATACATAATCTCACTATGAGGGGAGAGAGAGAGAGAGAGAGAGAGAGAGAGAGAGAGAGATTGCTGCCTCTATTGAGAGAGAGAGAGCGAGAAAGCGAGCGCTGCCTCTATTCTGAAATTTTGGGCCATTGCATACTGGGAGCTGTAGTCCTTAGCACCTGATAACTGCTTGGCATGGAGATGGAATCTTTTCAGGGCATCATTTCGTGGTTCAGAATTGCTCCTTGCTATTCATCAGACATCCCACCCCAGGGAGGCTGTTTTGAGAACATTGTTTCAAGTCTTCTGCCAGGTGGCCTTACATTAAACTGGTTCTTTTCTCTGAATCTGGGGGCATGTTTTTGTTTTTTATTTTGGCTTCTGTGCTATTGGGTAGCTGGCCTATATTTGGCAGCAACCTTGGTATTTTTTCTGAAACTATTGGGGATCAGTGTCTGAATTTTAAGGATTTCTTCTGCTTGAAATAAACAGAAAGATGTGATGGATTCCCCAAAAGCAGCTTATTCCACCAGCCTTCTAAAAAAAAAAAATAAATAAAGAGCACTTTTTGATGAGTCATTTCTTTCCTTAGGATTTTTTAAAAAAGCAAACAGCTTGAATTAAAGCATTTAAGGGAAACTAATAGATACCATCATATGGGTAGTGTAGTAATTGGCACCATATTGCAGATAAGTTAAGAGTCAAGATTCCAGTTAATTTTCAAATATAAAAACCCATTTGATTATAATGACATAATCCTTAGCCACTAAGGTTTGCATTGAAATTCTTGAATTTTATGGTCTTTTCACTTTAATTAAATAATCAAAAATGTAGAACAATTTCACTTTGAAATGTTTTCCTCCTGGTAGAGGTTTTCAGATCTCTGGGTCTATATGTTCCTTGATGGGTTGGACCCACTGAAGTCTTTGACCTATCTCCTCAACTGGAAAACAATTATTGAAGGCAGTTCACATGTCCGAAACACAAGACCAAATACTGAACACTGACTGAAAAAAAGGAAAATTTTTTATTATCAAGATGGCACCAACTGAGATAAAGGGACCCCAAGCTTATATCTACCACTGAAAGAGGGAGATTTAGGGATTTTTAGGAAATGGTAGGTGTCTGGGAAAAGAAATGTTAGTTACTCAAGGAAAGCATGTAAATTAACTAGGGGTTTCATGAATTAGACATCTTGACTTCAAGAAAAGACAATTATCTCATAAACACATGGAACACAGGGCCATTCAATCCAGTTGACATCTGTACAAGTTTCTTCATGATGCCTTGGGATTTGGAAACAGAAGTTAAAATCTTAACATGTGGCTTGCAGGAATAAATACAATGCCTAGGACGTTAATTCTGTGTTGCTGTATCAGGTTTCCACTGTCATGTGTTTATTACTTTATCTTTTAAGGATAAGTGGTGGTGCCAGTATCTTTCTTGCTATTTCCTAATGAGTGGAGATGATATTAGGGGGGCCCAAAGGAATAAAATTCATTGACCTGAGTTTGTAATTACTCTTCATTTCTGGGACACCCATGGGGTGTGGTATTATACTTTAACACTTAGTGACAACAGCACTTAGTGACACAAAATAATTACTTTAATTGAAATATATATGAACATAAATGCAAATAATATATTTGCATCTTGAATCCCAGAGAATCCAAGAAAATAGAGGAGAATCAATAATCTAAACCAGGCACTTCTAAAGAGAAATTTTGAAGCTTCTAATTCTATTAAGGGTATCAAAATAAGCTAAGGAGTTTATGTAAGTGCAGTATGTATTATTGTGATGCTACACATACTCCTTTGTTCAGTCACTATGCCATCCAAGATTACACAATTGCCAAGAATTATCTTTGCTAACAAATATAAGCATTTTTGAGCATCCAGACACTTACTGACAGCATTAGAGAGAAATTTCTTATCATGCATTTTTATGAATCTATTTGCAATGAAAGGGTACCAAACTCAGGTAAATGAAAGGGTAGGTTATTCTGGAATCTTCCTCTTATATAGTCTACCATATGTCATCTGAAAGGGGTTCAACTGGAGTCTATTTCAGGGCGCTGCTCTTATCTCGAGCAAAGCAATAGCTTTGTCTCAACTTGTCCCAAGTTAGATTAGTTTTTTGTTAGATTTTAGAAATAGTCTTTCTGAGTGTGTGATTCATCATCTCTAATTTTTTCAAGTTTATTGGGGTCTTTGTAAAATATCTAGTTTCCATAGGTGGGGAGGAAAAATCTTCCAACTTAAAACACATCTTTGGCAAGAGGTTTATTTCATGGGAGTGCTGAGTGGAAGGCTGAGTGGAAGCTGATTTGTATGTTTACATCTAAACTCCTCTGTATAAGGGTCTATTCTAG